GAAGGCAGGATCTTGTCTGTTTTACTCAGTGGTTAGGGCAATAAATGGCATGTGGTAATTGCTCAGTGAATATCTGCATAATACACAGATGAAAATATCTCCTTAGCTATGAAACGCTCCTGCATTCTCTCCTGCATCCTTTCACCTTGTTAGACAGCTTGGATTCTCCTTTGCCTGCCTTGAATATCAGTACCATTTATATGATGACTACCTTAAGAGTACATAAGCAGTCCTCATCTCCCCACTACCCTGAGTTCCCAGCATGTAGATATATGGGGTCTAAGACACAGTGAACATCCTACACGTCTACTAACTGAGCAAATGAGTGAATCTCTGGAATCCCACATTGGTAGGTAGCAATGCTGTCCTGGGAACCAGCACCACAAATGTCTAGATTTTTATCCCATGGTTCCATGTTCCAAAAAGAGTTTATCTCTAAAAACTTACTTATTATTGAGTGATAATATATTTCCATGTTTTAATGGATCAAAATTATGTGTTTCTGTGCTGAGTTATAACTTTGGTCAAAAGCTTGTTACCTTGCACTGCCATATTTGTAGATAAATGTATAATTTTCTGCAGATTTTATACAGTATTGAGGTAGTTCCCTGATGCCACTAACCTCCTGTCTCTTGTTTGTCACATGGTAGAAGCCATAAGATGCACATTGGAAGAGGATGAAGGACTTCTTCTGGCAATCTCAGGGCATTGTTTTCATCAAGGGACGTGACTCATTATCTATATTGCTGGGACTTTTCATAATTCCCAGTCCCCTGAACTGTAGGCAAGGAAATTCAATTTAGTGGTAATTCAATTCAGTGCCAAGAGCAGTAAGGAGTCACTGCTCAGTTTTTGATGTTCAGAATAGGATTTTGAGTTGTAAATATTGAAAGCTGGTGTTTGTCAAGAATAAATAATTTTCAAAATTTATTTATCTTCCATTAGCATGTCCAGTTGGAGTAGCTTATAGATCTTCATTCTCAATAAGGGAAAGAGTGAACAAGTAGAAAAAGTACATTTCCTATCACATTAAATGAAGATGGCAGGAAAAAGTACATCTCTTGCAGTAAGGTAAGGAAAGGCAGAGGTCAGGTATTTAGAGATAGGAGAGTTTCTTTTTCCCGTAGAGACTAAAATCCTACAAATGGAAGTTTGGATAGTATATTATATCAGCTTTCAGTTACTATAATGAAATTCCTGAGTCAAGTAACTTATAAAGAGAAAAGGACTATTGACTTACCATTCTGTAGTTTCCGGTCCAAGATCAGGTGGCCCCAATTCTTTGGGCCTCTGGTGAGTTGGCACATCATGGTTGAAATACATGGAAGAACATTAGCTGTGTTGGGAGTCAACCCGGCTCCAAAGACTAACTTCCCTATCCCCCAAGAAGAGCTGTCCAATGGTGAGCCCTGCTGGCTCACCTGATCCTT